ATGGACTGTTGTAATTACGAATTAAGGAGTTAAGGTGTCCGTAGGAGCTGTAATTAATTAATGATCGATCGAAATTAATTATTGATCACTCTATCATTCGTTAGCGGTAAGGTTGCGCGGGAGAAAATTGTGTCCTCGCGAAGATCCAGAGACACGGCGGATCGCGTCCGACCGATGGAAACTGGCTTTTTTCTCTTTTTAGGTAACGTTCGTCTCGAAGACTGTACACACACACACACACACACACACAAACACGAGTATGCACATATAATACATATAATACAACGTTTGAACGTCGTATAAAGATCGACGCGCGGCAAGAATAACGTTGAAATCGAGACTCCGCGAAAAATATCTACATTATCCACGGTCGGAAAGTAGAAGGGGGGACGGGATAACATCATCTATTTTCTTTTTCTCGTTTTATTTTCGATTATTAGTTACGCATAGATCAAGGTTTAATTATTCGCGCGAACATATATCATATATATATATGTGTAAAAGAAATATATTTAATGAAAAGAAGGAATGGCTTGACGATGTTCATTCTGGACTGCGCTTTTCCCAAACAGTTCTACCTCTCGTGTTCTGTTAGCGAGTTATTTACTTACGGTAAATAAAAATTAAGGTTATGTGTGCGTCGAACGTGTGTGTATATATATGCATGTATGTACACGCGACTCACGCGAAACTAAATGGTCCAAAAAGAAGAACACAACAAAAGAAAATCCGATGAAACGATAAAACCGCGATGTTTGTTATATCGATGAGAAACTATGTATGTGTATATATGTATATGTATATATATATATATATATGTGTGTGTGTGTGTGTATATATATATACATATATAAATAAATATATATATATAATATGTATATATGTTTATATTTATACATATTATATAAATATTTAAGGACCTTCGTCGCTTAGCTTTACGAAGAAATAAAATGTTTCAACGAGTAACATGTTCGTGACTACTCACCATACTGAGTGGCTTGTCCAGCGGCACGTACTCGATATAGTCGCTGACGAATTTTCCGCACCCCTGCCACGTGTACAGTTCCGGATACGGCAGCGTACTTCGTCTGATAGTCGTAGACACGAATTTCTGCACACACGTACACGCATATGCACACACACACACAAAAGTGATTATTAGGGATTGTAAAGAAACTTACATGAACACACCTACACACACACACACGCATATACATACATACATACATACATACATAACACAGAGATCGTCTCTTATCTCGCGACTCATTTTCACATTCGTTCTTTTTTTTTCGTTCTGTCTGAACACGATGCTTTACTATCGTAAGATTGATCCCGTGAAGAGTAACAACGTCCCTTACGTCGCATATTTATTTTCCTTCGTATTTACGTTCCGTATTTCGTTGCGAAACGGATCAGTTTATTGTTCGAGCATCGCGACGCGCGAACGGTACTGTCGGTCGATCGTATCGATCCTTGAACCTCGTCGAAGCATTTACCGATATTTTTGTTCGTTTTCGGTTTTCCTTTTCGTCGTTTTGTTCGTAGTAGTTGTACATGTCTCTATGTATATGTAAGTATGTATGTATATGTATACGTATAAAATATTTAAACCGTTGGACCGCGTGTAAAGAATGGTTCACGTGTCTCTCGTCGTTCCTACCGTATTCGAATTGTACTCTGAAAGGGAGACCACCTAATCTTAACGGTAGCAAAGCGTATTTATATGAATGAACACACAGTGACACAGATAGGGCACACTCGCGTATTCACACATAGAGAGAAGGAGAGAGAGATACAGACACATACTACTCATCCACATACACGCGGCATACACAACAGAAAACCAAAGTGAAGAAAGTGCTGTCGAGTGTTTGACAGCGCGTGTAAATAAGACTGTGACCGTGCACTTGCACGCGAAGTGCATACCATGTATTGTAGAATGTTTGAAGCATGTACGAATAAATGTATAGCGAAGTTTATTTTTATTATTTAGATCGTAGAGGAGAACGATTCGAGTGTATTAGAAAGATTCCTATTACGCAAGTTATATTTCCGTTAGTTGTGAATTAATACGGGAAGAGAAAGGGCGACGAACGACAACAGAGAGAACTTAGAATCTATTCGCAAGACGACATTCCTCGTTACCTTTTAAAATGAGAGAGAGAGAGAGAGAGAGAGAGAGAGAGAGAGAGAGAGAGAGAGAGAGAGAG